ATGGATGAATCTTGGAAACATGCCAAGTGAATGAAGTCAAACACAAAAGGTTGATTTTATTTACATGAAATATTCAGAACAGGAATAGGAGGTAATGTAGTAGTTGCTAGGAGTTAGTAGTAGGGAGGTGGGAAGTGAGATGTCACTAAAGAGTCTGTGTTGTCTTTCTAGACGATGAAATATTCTGGAATTATATTGTACTGCTAGGTACAAAACCTTGTGACCATAGTACAGATGAACTTTAAACAGGCAAATTTTATGTATTATGGCTGATCTGAGTAAAAACATCAATGGATATCTCAGTCTTCATCATGTTTCCCCCAGGTAGCATTTTTCATTCTTAGTTATGTTCTCTATCTTGATTTACTTTTATTTTTCTTTGTGATAGCATATTCTGATATTTTCCTCATTTCTCAGATTTTTCCCTTTCAGTTTCCACTGGATACTCTGGGTTCTAGTTTTACTCTTAAAATGGCATTGCTGTTCCTTAAGGTGCCTTATTAGGTCTCTTTTCTTCCTAAGCATCTCACCTCTAGCACTTCAATTGCTCTTTTTATGATCATTGACTGGTAGGTTTCCATGTGGCACCTGTACCTTTGCCCTGAGCCTTATCCCATCCACCTCCAACTTAGCCATCTTTCAGGTTTCCAGTCTCACCTTTGTGTTGAGAACTTTATCTTTGTCTCAAACTGTATTTCTTAGTCGTCCTGCTTTTATTATCTCAGGAAAGTTAGGATCACATTTGAAAAGTTCACTACCCTCAGGTTATTCCATCTGGTTAGTATAAATTGTATATGACCCAGTCTTATGGCATTTGACTCTTCCATAATGCCCAGGTGGCAGGAGAGGTCTGGAAGTCAATGATCAATGTGTTACCCAGCTGCAGAGTGGGCGTGGTGCATGTTTAATCTGAATAATCAACTTGATTGGTATGAGAGATGCTTAGGAGATTAATGAAGCACACCTCTGAGTATGTCACTGGGGGCTTTCCCAGGGATGACTGGCATGTGAGAAGCAACTGAAAAGGTGTAGATTGACCTTGAACATGGGCAGAACCATCTTGTAGTCTGGGCTTGCATAGAACAAAAGCAGAAAGAAGCCTGTCAGAGGCCAGCTCTGACCTGTCAAAGGGTTCTTGGGGGAAGGAGTGAGGAATGAACTATTAGATAGAAATATAGACAGAGACAATGAGATAGACAGAGACAGGATAGCTTTGAGAGTGCCCTGGGTCAATACCCAGTTGCTCCAACTTTATTCATAATGGGCCTTTTATACATCAGCAAGGGGAGTGGCAAAAGACCTCCCCATTCCAAGGTCAAGGTATAAACCACAAACAAGTGTATACGCTTCAAAACACCTAGTAACCTTCCATGCCTTTGGTCAAATCATCCTATTATGCAGCCCTGCAGGCAAAGCAATCTCAGACTTTCTGACCTTGTGTAAGGTCCTAATAGGGATCCTTTGTAGACCCCCACATATTTCCCCTTCTTTATAATATAAAGGGTCCCTTGGACCCCTCAAATGACTGTCCCTGTCTTAGGTCACCATTTTTAACCACCCAGTCTTACCTGTCTCTGGAACACACATTCCACCATATATGATCTGTCTTAGATTGACAGCTGGTAAGAAGTACTTACCTGTCTCTGTCTACCAGTCTCTGGCAAGGGAAGGTACAGAGCCTAACTCCATGCAGCTCTGAATCAGCTTTCCACTAGAGCTTGCCAATAGCGAGAATAATTATAGCAATACTCTTACTCCTTACGGCTGCTATGCCTCTTAGTAAAGGAGTAGAGGGTGATCAAGATAGAATGGCCTTTTTAAATGGGGCCACAATGTGAAAAGCAGTTTTAGCTGCTTTAAACCTTTTTTTAAATCAATAAAGTCCTGATGCAACCACATCAAATAAATCAGTAAACTCCTGATGCAACCATATCAGATCTAAGAACTCTTTAGCATCACCATACCATAGTTCATTAACATTAACAGGTTAATATCATAATTCTAGTATGAATATTACTATAGACACACAATTACAATTCTCACATACTTATATCCAAAAGCATAGTCTTAATAGAACTATTTACATTTTCTACTAACAAAACATAGGGTACATTAATGCAGGCTAACATGAATCATAAAAAGAACAGAAAATGTTTTTGTGCTTGAGCTACTACAGTCCAGCAGCAAAAACTTTATCCCAACTCTTACTCATCAGTACATTTAAAAAAATATGATGAGGTGACTGAGAATATAACTCCCCTTTTCCTTTATAATTTTTTAATCTGTATCCTGAGCCTGGATAGAAAAAAACAAGCTTCTCGATTCCTACACAAAACAGTTCCATTCCATTTTTATACAAAACAGTTCCATTCCTATACAAAACAGTTCATGATTCACTACAGTTAATAAAAGTATATATGTGTAGATGAAATCAAAATTGTTCCATTTCTGAGGTCTGAAATGTTCAAAAAGCCAGTTCTGATACCAGTCTTAATGTTCCACTGAAAGCCCAAGATCAGGACCTACCTCACCAGCTGCCCTGAAGTCTTTGTATAGCTGTCCAAGTCACAATGAATCTGAAGAAAAAGCTCCAAATATGAAGAAACCCAAAACCAAAATTTGTTGCAGTTCCTTTGCACGCAACAACCCAGTTTAAACAAGAGTCTCTGAAACTTCTCTCTCAGCTACAGAGGTACTTTGCAGCTGGTAGCCTTCCCCTAGGCAATCCATCCTAGGGTAAAGCTGGCTGCTGCAGACCTCTTCAAAAAAGTCCCCCTTACAGCCAGCATGAACCAGTAAGCCATCTCTTAAAGGAGCCATGCATTTATTCACCACCAGCAAATAGAAGTTGCATGGCTTTAGCTGCTGACTCCACTCTGTTTGCCTTTTTTTCATAGTCTCAGTCTATCTGTTCCTCCTGTCTCTGGTCCATCCACCCAGGATTCCAGTGTCCTAGGGCCTGAGACCTGGGCCTCAATCACCTCATGTCACAAGGGCTCAAGGTGCTGCCCTGCTGCTATGAGCTGCAGTTCTCATTCAGAACCCCATGTCCTAGAGAAAACTCAGCTGAGGCCAGGTGCAGCAGCTGTACCCTGGCTCCATTACCTGCTCTGCTGGTGGCCTTGCATCCTTTGTGTGCTGCCTTACAGCAGCCCTTAGGGCAGCCCAACTGTTCTGTCACATCCTGTTGCTGGGAGCCTGGGCTGGCCTGGCTTCCAGTGCATCTCCACCATTGAGCCTGGAGTGTGGCTCTGCCTCACTCAGCAGTTCGATCACTGCTGCTGTTGCTGCTGCTAGGGACTCAGACCCTGTACACAAAACCCCTGCTACACTCTCCATGCCTGGGCACATCTTGCCCAGGTATCCTGTCAGCCAGCAGGGTCCCTTGGGTCCATAGCACCACCTCTGCCATGGTTCTGCCCTTGGGGATGCTGCCTCATCTCTACAGGGACCCCAGCTAGAATGCATGGCCAGCAGGGTGCATGCAGACTCACAGGTACCTGTTCCCTGGCCTCCTGGGTGCATGCCCCACAGATGTCTTTCTCTGGAGGCTTTGTCTCTTGTGCAGTGGCCAAGATGCCCTGCACACTCACTCTCCAGCTGCCTGCTTGGCTTTCTGCCTGTGCTCTCCAGGGGTGGCCCTCACTCAACTATATCCACCAGGGACTCTGGCTCCAAGTGACAGATCTGCTACAGCCGCTGGCATCCAAAGCCTCCACCAATGCTTGTACACCTTCTCTTACCTGGCTTCTCAAGACCACAGAGCACAGCCTCCAGCCATGTCTGTTCCAACTCCCACAAACACCCCAGCCAACTGCACTCCCCTTACCACTGCTCACTTATGGCAGAAAATGCACAGACCCTTGCTGTTTGTGCTGGCTCTCTTGGCACCTGCTGCCTGTGATGCAATGGTGCCTCGTGGGTCTCCGTGATGCTGATGCTAGGCTGGGACAGCCACTGCTCCTGCTGCTTCTTTCTGAAGCTGGCTGTCTTTGAAGCAGCTTCTTGTTCTTGGACTGCTAGATTCAGAGTGGCTGCTTGGTCCCAGACACTGCTTTTCTATTCTGTCTGCATCCAGGGTCCCACACTTGGGAAAACCTACTCTACTCTAAGTTACTTTCTATTCTACCTAAGCCTACATTTCTCATACCTAACAAAGACTTTCATGGCTTATTTATATTATAACTTTAGCCCTTACTTAGGCTTGCATCCTTAACATTCAAACAACTTTCTCATACCAAAAAAAAAAAAAAGCATAAAATCAAATCTTCATGACTTTCTAGACCCTTGCAATTTTCTTAGCCTGTTCTTTAGTAGATAGATAGATAGATAGATAGATAGATAGATAGATAGATAGATACTTGCTGCAGTCTAATCTTAGTTCCTTCTGGCTTTTAAAATATCTTTAGAGTTGTCTATTACTACTCTGCCCCATATTTATAATTTTACTCCCAAAAAAGAAAATCACTGCACCCCAATTAAATATATGTGCATGCTGACTTAACCTTTGGTATTACTTCACTTTATCCTCCACATCCAAGTTCCATGTTTGGGTGCCATATGTTGGAGGCCAGCTCTGAGCTGTCAAAAGGTTCTTAGGGGAAAGAGTGAGGAATGAACTATTAGATAGAAATATAGACAGAGACAATGAGATAGACAGAGACAAAGGATAGCTTTGAGAGTGGCCTGGGTCAATACCTAGTCATCCCAACTTTATTCATAATGGGCCTTTTATACATCAGCAAGGGGAGGGGCAAAAGACCTCCCCCTTCTAAGGTCAAGTTATAAAGTACCAACAAGTGTATACCCTTCAAAACACCTGGTAACCATGTATTTGGCCAAATCATTCTACTATGCAGCCCTGCAGGCAAAGCAAGCTCAGACTTTCTGACCTTGAGTAAGGCCTTACTAGGGAGCCTCTGTGGGCCCCCACTGGTACAGGTCCATGCACATGTTCACCATCCCCTCTTACTTACTTTCTCTCTCCTTCTTTTTCCTAGATGCCATGAGGTGGAGGTAAACAGCTTACCTCTGCCATGTCCTGATCCTATGATGTTCTGCCTTGTGCCTGTAATAATGCCCATAACAAAGCAAGCCATGTGTACTGAAACCTTGGAAGCTGTAAGCCAAAAATAAATCTTTCCTCCTTTAAATTTTCTATCTCAGATATTTGATATTATGATAGAGTGATGAAGAAGCTAATACAACAGGTTTAGTTTTCATTGCCCATCACAAAAAGAATTTCAAAGAAAGGTAAAAAATAAAATAGAAAATATGTGGTTTAATCCAAGAAATTATTGTTGCTTTTGTGATTTATTGTATTTTTAATCTTGTATTTGTATGTATGTCTGTATCTGTCGGGTGGGTGCACACGAATATTGGTGCCTATCGAAGCCAGAAGAAGGTGTTTGATCCCCTGGAGCAGGAGTTAGCCACTTGACATGGGTCCTGGGAACCTAATTTGGGTCTTCTGAAAGCATGCTTCCTTGTCAGCAGATCCTCAGAAATGACTGTTTTGAACTAGATAAAAAGTTATTTCTAACCCAGGAAAGGAGGACAAGGGTCATGAAGACAGGCAAAATTGTCCACATAGTGAAATAATTTTAACTCAGTTTCTCTTATGTTGCCTCATGGACATGGCTCATGGATTTCCCAAATGATCTTAGAAAAAAGTATAAGCTATTTTTGCTAGGAAATATCATCTTCTTCTGGTCCAGTCATCATTTCAAGTGACAAATTTTATTTGTCTATCCATGAAATGAGTTAGAGAAAATGTAACTATAAAAAGGAGACTACCAATGTTTATAACGGCAATATCATGGAGCTGTAGAAGCCCATCTGGCCAGGATCAACTTTGTGAACATACTGGATGCTTACAAAATATGAAAGGGCAGCAAAGCAGGAGACAATCACGAAAGTGATAACCAGCAGGGGAAGAGCGAGTTAGATCTCCAAGAACCAAAACAACCATTGCAGGGATGTCTCTATAAGAACTTTCCCAAGTAGCTGCACACAATATACACAAAAGATAGAATGTCTTCCACAAAGTGGCTTTCAAAAACTTATTTCTGATTATAAGAAGGAGCAAAGCCATACAATGCTGCTTGGCATTTGTTTTAAAAAGAAAGAATTAAGATATACTTCAAATAGAAGTGTCTATGTTCTCCAGTAGCTATGGAAAGTGAACTAAATGGAGCTAAGAGACAGTGAAGCCATTGAGGAGAAAAGTCTGACCTCTTGCAGTGTTTTTCTGACTGTGGGTTTTAGAGCATAGAGTCAGTGAATTAAATAAAGGACTGAATATAAAACTAAACTTTGAATGATAAATTTTTGTACTAGCTTTGTTACTGAAGAATTTCATTGTCTTGGCTAAATCATTTCACTTTTCAGTGTCTTATTATTTAAGTCAACACACTAAGATTTGCCTGATTTCTCAGCAAGTGTTTGTGAGTTCCCTTTTGTGTCCAGAGTGGTATGGCCTGGGAAACCTTTGTAATGACAGATGCATACTGACTCATGTTGGAGACAAACATTTTTTGTTCTCATTGCTTCCTTACAAGATGACATAAAAATGAGAATAGTGGCTTGTTCCTGTAACCCCAGAATTTGGGAAGCTGAGGCATATGGATGATTGTGAGGTAGAGGCCAGTGAGAGCTGCACATTGAGTTCCAGGCAATCCTGGGTTATCAGGAAATCCTGGACTACAGAGTGAGATCCTGTCTTAATAAAAATAAATGGATAAATAAATAGTAAATTAATCAAAACAACAATAACAAAAACAAACACCAGCCATCAGGAAATGCAAATGAAAATTGCCTTGAGATTTCATCTCATACCAGTGAGAATGGCCACCATCAAGGAAACAAAAGATGATAAATGCTGGAACACTGTTGGGAAAGAGCACCCATTAGTCACTGTTCATAGGAGTGTAAACTTGTGCAGCCACTATGAAAAATCTACACACGGGTATAAAAAAAATACTGAACATAGAACTTCCACATGATGCAGATGTACCCCTCCTGTGCATATACCCAGAGAACTCTGTATCCTATTGCACAGATATTCCTTGCACACCTGCATTTATTGCTGCTGTAGTTACAATAGCAAAGATATGGAATCATATCAACTCATCAGTAGAAAATGAAATGTGGCCACACACACAGGTATGCACACATGTATAAATACACATGCATAATAGAATTTTATACAGCTGTAAGAAAAATGAAATTATCAAATTTTCAGGAGGAAATGGAACTGGAAAATATTAAATGAGGTAACCCAGGGTTGGAAAGACAAATGTCTCATATTATTTTGTACATGTGAATCATAGTTGCTTATTTTTATATATGCATATCTGTGAGGGACTGAGTATGTATAGAGTCTAGAAAACTAGAAAGGGATCCCTGAGAGGAGAAAAATTCTTTGGGGGCTGTAGACCACATATGATACCAAAGTAGAAGGGGGTACTGTAAATGGAAAGGTCTAAAATGCTGGGGGATACTCAGTGCTAGAAGGAGAAGGAGAGGTACAGAAGGGTCAGCCAAAGCTGACAACGTATGAACAAGTCAGAGAGAATTCTGGACCGCAATGAACTAATCACAAAATAAAATATAATGTAAGAGAGTTTGAATGGAGGCAAGGCTGCTCCCAGAAGATGCAGGGTATTAAATTAAAATTTTAATGCCTTGTAAGATGTTTTCCAGGAGGCCTCTATATTCCCTAAAAGTAAAAGTTATTGTCAGTGCCCTTGGTTGCCCACAGAACTAGATGGTATGACCCCATTGGTTGTAGGACATAAAAAAAAATCAAGCTGGAACTTGGTTCTCTACTCGACGGACCTCATAGTACCAGAAAGTATTATTCAGGCTGCTGGAAAAGAATTACCATCACCAATCTTTTCCAGCTGTGGACCCTGTATATACGATAATACAAACAACTCAGGGAAGATGAGCCCATTGGCACAGCAGTGGCAGGTCTGTGATGTGGGTAACTGACTGCTTTTTTATTGGATTTGGTGTCTGCTCTGAAGAAATTTGTATGATACTACACCCATATCAAAAGCCTATGGATTGGGAGGTCATAGGTCTTAGTGGGGAAGCCACTGTTGTTGTTTTGTTAGATGGACATGATATGCTCATCAGATTGCTGCCTAAGCAATCATGCTTCTGCCCATAAAATAGTGTTGCTGTCAGATTTGGTCAGAAAGACTTCTTTGGCAGTTGTCACTGGTGATTTCAGAGACTCATAACTGGCTAAAGTATTGAAAATAACAAAATGTTGAGTTCCCAGTCATAAATGGGGCATCCATATCACCACCCCCAAGGCCAGGGAGTATCATGAAGGAGAAAAAAGAATGTAAGAGGTGGAGGATGTTGGGATACTTGAGGCATGCTGGCATCTTGACATGTGAGTACTGCTCTCATAAACATCTAGTGGTAAATATTACCTGCACAGGATCTATGTAAGATCTGGCTTATCAACACCCTGTCACGGAAGGAGGATGTGGATCAGGGATTACCCCTCCCTGATGATACATAGTTAATGGTTAATGGGAGAGAGAGATGTTTTCACCAGTGGTGTAACAACTGGTAAAGTGCCCATGCTTCTGTAAACTGAACTTCGCCCATGCTGCTCCGCTGACAGCCCTAATGAATTTCACTGAATAACACACAAAAGGACAAGAAAGTCACAAGGAGCTGAATGGAGAGACAAAGGGGGAAGTCATAGTGGGAAAGGAATGGAACTGGGTTAAGGGAGGATGAAAACGATCAAAATACATTATATAATATATGGAAATGTCAAAATGGAACATTATTACACATAATTAATATATGTAAATAAAACATAAGAAAGACACCCCCAACAATAATAAAATCTTAAACCAAATCAACAACAACCAACAACAGGAAGAGGACATCTATTGGGAGCCAGAAGTTTAAATGAGTTGTTTGAGATCTGTTATCTGGGGAAAGAGCTGGCACAGGACTCCCTTTGTACTCTTCTGTGCCACATCTGCTGTGAGCTGCCCATGAATCACACTAAGATTTGAGCTCTATGGAGCCGTGGACAGCATTCAGGATGACTGTGATTATACTTGCCCATGAAAGTATTTGACTGGATGTGGAACAAGTGGCTGGTACAGTGACTGGCAGAGAATAGATAGTAAATAAATATGAATTATTTCTCTTTACAGCTTTAACAGTCTAGAGACTTAAAAAAAAGCTAATTGCATATCTAGCATCTGATTAGCAGTGGTTTAATTGTGATGAGTTATCAGTGAGAGCAGTTTCAAAACCAAATATGGCCTGCAAAAATCAAAGATGTTCTACTTACAGAGAAGTTCCGTAGTGGGCCAAATGGCTGAATGTGGGTGCTGTCTCCACAGCATGCTCTGCAGCTCAAATGCCCCCATGTAGCTCACCTGTTTGGAAGTGTGACCCACTCTTTCTTCACCGAGCCTGTACTCTGTGCCTGTTGGAGCACAGAATGACACATGGTGAACAATGCCTTGGGGAACAGTGGGAGAGGCTCCGGGAAAAAAGGCAGAGGGCCTTTTACTTCAGATACATTTTGTTCCTTGGATTGTTCTTGAACATGATTTTGTGTCTCCTGTGACAAGCATTTACATTCAGTTTATAAGACATGTTTCTTCTTGGATGTCAGATCATAGCTATAGAACCCAATCTGGTCAGTGTACCCTGAATCTGGGTATAGCCTTGTGCCTTGCTTTAGTGCCTTCTCACGTATAATTTGTAGTACATGCCTGGCAATTGTGTTTAAATTGGTTTGTTCTGAGAAAGTTCTGGGAAAGGGCTGCTCTGTTAAGAATTAGTATTGGCTTACTGGCATTTATGTACATGTTTTTCTGAACTTGATCACTATTTTCTTTGTTACATTCATGTATAAAAGTGCACAGAAACTGAAGTAAAGTTGTCTACAGCTTTAGACTGTACTCGGCCCCATTCTTTCAGGTCCAACAGACAAATCTGCACAGGTCGGCTGAAAAGTTGACAGTGGCTTCTTCTCCAGTTGTCAATCCTTTGTGTCAAGAGCCTTTCTCAGCAAGGTGTGACATTGGACTCCCCCTATTCTCAAAAGTCCTACCAGAAGGGCGGAACTTAATCAAAGATTGTCCATGGGGATGAAATTCTTGTAGCCACTGCACAGCTGTGAGCATTCTCCATCAAGTTGTCTGAAGCCCCAAGGGCAGCCTTGAAGGAAGAGCTGCTGACTTTGGAGACAGAGAACTTCAGGCTCAGAGACTGAGAAGTAGTAAGGCCCTGGGTCTACTTGAACCTTACCACAATACTGTTATTGTGTTCTACTCAGGGGTAGTAGACTGAAAAATGTAATTTCCTTTATGGCTTCATGTATTTTTTTCCTCATGTGAATGTCTGAAAATTGAATCAAATCTCTTTTCCTCTTACAGGAAGAGGCTTCCAAATTTTAAGTCCTTCAACTTTGGAGCCTTGCTTCCCTCTCTCAAGACTTCCTTGGATCATTTTTATCCAGGTGTATTTTATTATTTTCCTTCTTTTCACAAAAGATAATAAGACCTCTCAG